TTGGATTGTTGAACATTCAAGAGACACACATACAGATAATATATGTAGCAAATTCGACTTTACGAAGTTCTGTAGAGCAGCACACATGTTTTACTTTTTACAGCACACCATAAGCCAGCACCCTAATGAGGTGCATCCTACATATACAAGAGGGTAAGATACCTTGACAATGTCAATATCCAAATTATCTTTTTCTCCAGAGTTAAAATTCCCTATCCGGGAACAGAACAGGAGCAACCAGAGACCAGATATAGAGACCTGCGGTTGCCCATCCAGTTACAATTCGAACCCACACGGATGGCCACCCCACATCTACCAACTTCCCACTCTCCCCAACCGAGGTTGACCACCCCGTCAATAGCATTGCTGAGTACATGCTTGCGAGTGAAAAGATGATGTGGAAGAAGGAATACGAGTATGTGACTGGCTTGGCGCTCTCCTTCTCCTCTTTCTCATCAGCCTTGTCCAATGGAAGCAAGGGCTTCCCTGCACCCTCAATAAGTATAGCAGAATGTTAGACCCCAATTTAACCAACTTAGCTGTCGCAAGAAAGAGGGGAACAAATTGCAAATTCTAAATCATGCGAACTCCTAGTCAGAACTCCTTTTCCGCATAGAACAGAAACAATTGAAAGACTTTTATTGACATTACCTGCACGAGGTGAGCTAGGTGGTGAAAGCAGAGTTGTGGAAGACCCAGCTCGAACAGCAGAATAGACAACTGACAGAACAGTTGTAAGCAGCCCAACTGTAAGGGTGCCGGTGGAAACTGCTTTAGAATGCCTGTGAAGACCATTGCATTCATAATCTCTTGGTTCACTAGCAAGTCCACTGTAGCATAGGTACATGCAATACAACGATATAACTGAGGCTGGCAAAATGCTGCCACCAATCTGTTTCACAGAAAACAATCAGGAAAAGAAGAAGTAGAAGAAGAAGGGCATGTTATTAGCAAGAAAAAAAGACAACCATATGCCATGCAATAAATCCATTTAAATAGTAAGACTTTATACCGGTAAAAACTAGGAGCACGGTTAATTCTAACTTCCAATGATAAAAATATAGTAATATGACAAGTCCAACAGATATTCAGTCCTAAAAATATTTCTATTTCAAGAAAAAGCATGAGAGGGTATTATCATTCCATGATTGAATATTGAATTAACAATATCTTAACACATTCTATCATAACTACTTCATATTCTGAACAATTACAATTCACACTTCTAAAATCAACCTCAAACAGAAACTCTTCTAAAAAAATTCAGATCCAATTCAGAAAGACATGTCAATTATTTGCAGTTTAATTGAAGGTATGCATAGTATTTATCAACATTATCCAACCATCCCTAAGCTGGCAACGTCACCTCAACTACAAATGATAATGAGATCTTATAAAATCATTATGCAATAAAGAAGATGAGCAAGTTGGTAAAACTAAAAGTGGCTGGGTGAATAGTGAATAGAAACACCAAGTAGAATACTTACCGCAGGATGCAAAGCAACTATTGCAAAAACAAACACAAGAATCAGGGTCATGACAATGAAGAAGGTGTTGAGCCCACAATCCTGGCCAGATGGTGTGAACCAGTGGAAAAGAAGTCCCGAGAAGGCCAATGTTGCCACATAACAAACAAGTGAAACGACTAACAAAGCAACATACCTAGTAAAGAAGTAAAAGTCATAAGATGTTTATCTTATGGATACAAAGAAGAGGTGTAATAAGAAGAAAGGACACAAGAAAGACCATACTAACCAAAATTGCTCATTATATCCAACCCATTTATCATTCCATCCATGAACAAAGTCCAGTAAAAGCACAACTTGAACTAGGAGAAACAGTCCCGAGCCAAACTTCGATATTGACTCTACAAGTATAAGATTTACAATGTTAGTATGGTAAAACAATGAGAGGTCACTTCTCGTGGAGGAGGGAACATGTACTTTACCAATTACGCTATAACTCAGGTGCAGTGAGATATGACTCTTAGAAATGAGATTAACAAAATATTTTAGTTCCTTTTTTACTCCTTTTTTCTGATCTCTAAGTTGATCTACCCTTCTCCTGTTGTATGTATTGATGATATTCTACCACTACCACTAATAACAAACGTTATACTACTTAAGAATGCAAGCCTCCGTCAATTGCCTAGGCAGCAAACTAGACACTGGACTAGAAAAGATATATAACTATAAAACTTAAATGGTAAGAGACTCTCAGAACAGCGTAATTATGCAATGAAATCAAAGTAAACCAGAAATGCAAACCATATTCATGAAATAGAACAACCAATTAGGACCGTGACTTACCATAGAAGTTGACAATCTCATTTGGAAGGAAAAACATAAAAATAACCAAAAGGCACCAGCAGATTACTTTAGCCATCCATCCACCATGGTGCAAACCATCACGGGGATCCTTTTGGTTTTTCACACCAACCATTAAAATTGAAAGAATGGTGAAAAATAGAAAATTCCCAAGGCTAACCCGCAGCACAGCATCAGTTTCAAACCACTCCCTGTCAGGTGTTTTATGAAAAGTATTGATCCCTGCACAGCCAATGAATAAGAGATTAGCTTAACTCTTAAACCCAGTACACATTTTGCACCCTAACTACTGGATACGGATCAATGCATTGCTAATTCGGAATTCCCCAAGATATCCAATATGGGAGTGTGCAAAAGAGAACTCAAGACAGAAAATTTCCAAAGACCCAAAGTTAATTCCTGGACAATAATTAATGCTTTGCTCCCCAACTACTTATAGATATCATACTCGTCTCTTCACCATCCTAAGATTATCTTTCTCCAAGGGGAATTCAACACTCGTATAAATTTCCATGGAAATCAACCTTTCACAAAAGGAATAATTCAAACAAAGCGCAGTTTTGATGAAGCTTACAAGGGATCTTCTCCATCAGAGGAGCGGCAACCTCGCGAAGGATCCACGAAACAATGAGGGAAAGCGCAAAGAGACCACAGTATGCAATCCTGGCCGAGCGTCTGCTAATTCCGGACACCACAGTGCGGCAGGCATCGCAAGCGCAGGCTGCGCAGCACGATGCAAGGCAGGAAGCAGCCCACATCTTCTTCTTCAACCACAATCAACCCTAGAAAAACAGAAATTCAAAAACCTAATCATCGGAGCTGAAATTTTCATGAATTCAAGAAATTCTGAGTGTTGATCGGGAAAATTAATCGAAGATGATCTTAACAGAATTGAAATTCTATAATTTTCTTACTTTTTTGACCTGAGAAATTGAACAAGGCAACGCAACGCAACACAACGCAGAGTATGATCAGGGAAAAGAATACGCTTTTTAGTAAAGGTCTTGGAATTCAGTTGGTCGGTGGACTGTGGCGTTTAATTTACGTTTCCGATCATGTAATTCATCTGTGTCGTTCGCTTTGCACTTGAGGGCAAATCAACGGCTTTGATTACCCCCTCTTTTTTTTTTTAATTACAACAAGTGTCTCCTTTTACTCCCCTGTTTGCGGTATGCATATAGTCAATCTTAAATAAAAAAAATTAGTAATATAAAAATAA